CTCCCCCGTGGCTGTTTTGTCCCGTGGGACGCGGCCCTTTGAAGTCCGTGCCCGTCTGTCCCGTGGTTCGTGAGTCGCTCTGTGCACCCTGGGGGGAGACCTGAGAAGAAACTCCAAAGTCCTTCCCCTCGCCTCACGCCCTCTCTTCCGACCTCACCGCAGCGCCGTGCCGGGCACGCAGCGGGCAGGGCGGGCTGCCCTTCGCTGTGCTGCTTCGTGGGCGGAGCGAGCCCTGGGCTGTCCGGCTGGCCTGGCAGCTGCCGGCGTGTGAGCTGTGGGGATACAATGGGGAATTTCTGGCACACCTCTCGAAGCGTCCTCCTGTGACTGGCACAGCCGCGAGCTCCGCGCCCTGCCAGATGTCCGCAGAGGCCCCGCCGTTCCCCGCTGCTCGGGGAGCTGCTGTTCTTCTCCCACATTAATCTGGCTCCCTGTGCCCACCCTGCTCCACCTACCCGGCGGGACCCGGGCTGACAGCCACTGCTGCCCACCGCAGGCACACAGCTCTCAGCAAAGCTGGGGCGGATGGGCACCTCCCTCCCTGGGCTATCAGCTGGGTTAGCTGTCTTCATTCAGGTTCAGCTTTATTTCTTTGGATCGCTGGAAAGAGGTTGTGATGAGAACACCACCTCCGTCTTTCTGGACTGGTTAGGATGGCCCCCTCCTACAGATGAGCATGCCATGTACGTGGGTGCTGTCCTCTCTAACGGCAGCTTCTTGGGTCTGTGCAGCTGATGCCAGCCCCAAAGGGAATGTGCAAGTGCTGGAATTCTGCCTTGGTCTTAATGCAGCATTTCTGAGCCTGAACCAGTTACCTTGAGAGCATTGTATCACAACCAAAAACCTTATTTCCACCCTATGGTGTGGGGGGAGGGAGGGGGACTGTTCTATTTGGGGCTGGTTTTGCACCTGCTCATTGTCCCTTGTGCAACTCTTGGTGCCTGGGGCACAGCTGTGCTGCAATCACAGCCAGCTCTTGCATCACCTGCATGGTGGCCTTTGGCAGCGGAAGAGCAGGAAGTAAGAAATGTGTTGTTTTGTTTTTTAACAACCTGAGTTACACACACAAAGAATCAGATGGAGGCAAAGTGCAGGAGAAGCACTTCTGTAAGAGCCTTTTATTGAAGTGTGTGAAGGTTCAGAGGTGAAGAGGTTTGCAGCCAGAATAGCACAAACTCTCCAAAACGCGCTGTCTCTGCCAGTGCCCTGGTGTCATTGACTTTGTTTGGATGGGACTGGGGAAGAGTTCACTGTAATGAAAGCCCTGTGCACAGCCCACCTGCTAGAAAAGAGCTGCCAGGGAGAGTGTTGCCAGGATGTGGGGATGGCTGCATCCAGCTGCCATGGATTGACCCCTGACAGCCCTGCTGCTCTGGTGGGCTCACAGGGCACAGGCAGTCCATGTTCAGCCACCCGTCCCACCCCGCTCCCTCCTGGCCTTGCCTCCCCCGCCCTTCTTGGGCTTGAGACTGTGCTGGGCTGTGGCAGTGCATGCACAGGTGAGGACAGGAGGGCCGGGAGCTGTTTGTAAGAGCTTATCAACAACACTGTGACACAGCTTTTGTGAAAGAAGTGACCAGCCCCTTGGGCTGTGGCCCAGCAGGTCAGGGAAGGTCTGGCTGCTGACCTCAGCAGTGTGTTTGTGTTTCTGACCTTACAAAACCCGTTCCTTCGGTGGCTGAAACCACAACTGGAAATGAGGAAGAGGTGGGGAGCAGCGGTGCAGGAGGTGTGCTCGCTCTCAGGTGCCTCTCCACAGCCCCGTGCAGCTGTGTCAGACATGCCTGGGGAGGAATTTACCCCAAATCCATGAACCATGTGCATGGCTGGGCCCCTGCTGACGGAGCACCTCGTGCCCTGGCTGTGACTGCCAGGGCTGCTGTGTGGGCCTCGGGGGCTTTGGACCTCTGTCAGGGAGTTTGCCTAGAACAATTCAGTCCTCTGCGCCAAGACCTAGTCCTATCCAATGCATTTCCTGCTGTTATCTCGATCCTCATCCTCGGAGGAGGTTTTCATTTTAATCCTGATAATTCAGAAATCAGTGAACATAGGAGACACGTGGAGCTGCAGGATGCTGGTGCCCAGCTGGTCCATGGTCTGTGTGGGCAGCACCAGGACACAGGCTGTGAGCTGGCCCCGGCTGGGCCAGTGGCAGTGCATGGGCTGCGAGGGGCTGCCGCGTGCCAGGCTGTCTGTGCTGCGCTGGGGCCTGAGCTGGCTTTGTCTATATTTAGTGCATTTTTCAGATAACCTTCTTGTGCTATTTTGGGGCTGAGTGCTGACTTAAGGCCCTTTCTTGCCCTTGTGCCTGGCTGCATCACGGGTTCCAAGCCTCCCAGTTTTCAGCATCCTCCAATACCCAGATGTTTAGAAAGGTGTTGAGAAGGCAAATGGGCTTTTTGGGTTATTAGCACTGCAAAAAGGAGAGAAAGTAATGTCTTAAGCCCCTTTTCCTTCCTCCTGGGGCCCTGCAGGAGGAGTTTGAGGCCCAGGCTCTGGGCTCTGCAGGGCTGAGGTGGGACATGGGGACAGCTCTGCAGCACCCAGTGACAGACAGACCCACTGCTGTCACCACAGCGCAATGCACCGCAATGCACTGCAGCGGGGCTTTGATGGTCATTGCATTCAGCACTAGAACAACCAAGAGAAAGAAATTCTCCTTGCTAAAAATACACAGAAGCTTTTCTTCCAAAACAACATGAAAGAGCTTTGCTTTTCCAATGAGACTCAGCAGCAGCAGCAGCAATTTGGGCTGTGGGAGAAGGGTGGAGGCTCTGCTGCTTGGGCAGCTCTCAGACAGAGCTGCTTCTCCACGCACACCGCAGCGAGGCTCTGATGGCCGCTCTGGGCCCGGTGCTGTTGCGGCCATGGCTGGGCCTGGTGGCAGCTGTGCAGGAGGGAGTGCAGGGCTGGGTGCCTGCCAGGGCCCAGCAGGAGGGCCTGGGAGCAGGGACCTTCCAGCAGCTCTGTAAGGTCAGTGTCTGTGGAAGCTCTGTGCTGAGGCAGGCCACTGCCTCACATGCAAACTGATGGGCACAGATGCCGGGTCACCCTCTGGGCCATTAAAGCCAGCGGCCAGGCCGGGCCTCTCCAAGGACTCTGCAGGAGCAGCCACACGGCATTGCTAGGGACAGGGCAGCGATCCCACAGGCACAAGCATGGATGTGGCCCAGGCAGCACTGCAGGTTCAGTCCTCCTGAGCCCCAGGATGGCGAACCTGGCAGAGCCAGGCTGAGTTCTCGAGGCTGTGTCTTGCTGTGCCCTGTGCTCAGCCTGCAGCCAGCACATGGGCTGTGTGTGCCAGGGAACCCTGCTGCGTTCAGGGCTGTGTGCATTTGTTTAAAGATTCCTGTATGTGTCAGAGGTCCCAGGATGGTGGATAGCAAAGACTGCCCCGGTCCTCTCCTGCCCTCTGCTCCACAGCCCCACTGCCAGAATTGCTGTGACCATTGCTGCTCTCTGCAGCCAGGTGCCAAGGTCACAGCCTCACTCACCACTGGGAGGCTTTCAGGATGTTTGGGAACATGTTTTTCAGGTCTCTGAGGTGGGCGTGGGGAGGACAAGATGGTGGGAGCAGGGATGTGCACATGTAAAATCTTGAGGAGGCACCCGGGGATCTGGTCCCATCATCTCAGCACAAAACCAGACTGTGGATTAAGAGAAGACTTTAGTGTTCCCTGCCTCCCCTCAATATAGCAGAAGCTGCTTGGGGCAGGACATTTATAGCTGCCCTTCCATACTGGGAGCTCTCTTGGGTTTCAGTGCTGGGTGATAACAGGAGCGTGGCTCTGAGCCGCCCCATTCCTCTCCAGTAACAGGCAGAGATCTCCTGTCCTGGTGCCGCATGGCTCTGTGAGTAGCTGTGCCATGAGGCTCCATGGGCTTCTCTTCATGCTACCATACAGCCAAGGGGCTCGGTGAGGAGGAGAGTGTAATAGAGGAGCCTGCCCCAGGCTCTCCATTAGCACCCTAGATCCCTCTCCCACTTTTTATACCTGGCTTTGCCATCTTGATCATAAGGGGCATAAAAAACTGCTAAGAGTCTCTGGACCAACACAGCTCATGGTAGCGTATGGAAAGCACTGCCCCATGTCTGCTCCTCCTTGCAGCCTTCTTTATGCCCCTAACCCATACATGTTGCCACAGACAGCAGCAGGCTGCCACGTCGCAGGCTGAAGATAACATCATTGCAGGTGAAGTCACTGCAAGGACAGACACTGGCACAGATGAGGAGCCTGCTCCCAGGGTGGGCCTGACACTGGGGAGGCCCTGCAGGCTGAGCAAGGCCAGACCCCAGGTGAATGGGGACAGAGCCCCATCCCTGAGCACAGCAGCTCCTGGGGCTTCTGACCTCCCAGGGAGCTCTAGCTGCCTGCCCAGGCTGCAGGGACAGGCACAGCTGTGTTTCCCGCAGGGACAGCAGCTCGCAGCTCCAGTGTCGCCTTCCAGACAGGGAAATGTCAGCAGCGCAGCTCTGGTTGCAGACAGCCTGGCCTTCGTTCCCTCTGGTGCTGTGGAGTGACACAGAGCTGGGCAGCCTGAGAGCTTCCCCTCATCCTTGACCCCCAGTTTTCTCCCCATCAAGGACTATGGAGGTTGTGAGGCAGATATTCCAACTGCTTCCTGCCAGCCAACATGATTTTTTCAAGGCTGGAGGGAACATTTTGCTTGCTTTCTCTCTGGGCCACTGCTGTTATGAAGCAACCTTCCCTGAGCATACGGCCATCAGACACTATGACCTCACAGGCAGCCCCTGGCTGAGGCACGCACCCCAAAACCACCCTGGGGAGGATGACTGAGCACACCCCAGCGGCTCCCGTTTCCTCCTGTCCCCAAGCCAAGCCAGGAGCTGGTAGAAAACAAGACGTCAGTCAAAGGGGCACTGAGTCAGAGTGCTCTGGCCAGGTCAGGTGGGGATGCTGGCAGGATGCCCTGCATGGGCTGGGCAGAGAAAACCAAACCTCCCCTGCAGGCAGTCCTGTGTCCCACTGCTGTGTATACCTGCCTCGGGCAGCCCCGCCAGGTCCGCATGCTTTGTAGTCCTTGCTTCAAGGGGTGCTTGGCTTTGCCTGGCAGGCAGCTGGTGACTTTCTTGCACAAATGGTTATTTAGGGACAACTTACCCTAATTTGAAATAGAGTGCAATCTGCTTGCTTGCTTGCTTGCTTGTTTTAATGAATGGAGAATGCCTCTACCGTGTTCATTTTTGCAAAGAGTCTTTTTTATTCTTTTTTTCTTTTCAGAGTAGTGTAAATCTAATACCCAGATTTACGCCAAGTTAGGTCACCACCTGATGTTCATTATTTTCGGAGTGCTCTCTATTATTTGCTGTAGGTAAATTCCTTTGCTGGAGGGCTGTGTTGGCAGCCTGCAGCGGCCCCAGGCCCTGGCTGCAGCTCCCAGCACCCCAGACTGTCTCCATCCCAGGCTGTGGGTTGAAGCCTGCCTGTGCCCTGGGCACAGCCCCAGGTGCAATGTGCAGGGCTGCTCCTTGGGGCCTCTGTGGTTGTCCCATGGCTGCAATCACTGTGAGGTGGCACACAGCCCCCCACTGGGGGTTCACGGCCGATCCAAGGAGCAACTGGAGGTGTCCCCAGAGAAGGATCTATCCCCAGCCCTGAAACAGCCACATGTTCCCAAATGGTCGGCTCCTTGCAGAGCTGAGGAACCCCATAGGACACCTCCAGCACAGGCAGAGTGGGTGTCCCCATGCTCACCATGGGCTGTGAGCTGCAGCCAGCAGCAGGAGGAAACAGAGAACAGCAGCTGGAGGGGCTGTGGGAGCGCAGACACTCCAACACCTGCAGGGTGGGTTACTGGGGGCACTTCAGAAGGGGACAGGATTGGAGCACCTCAAGTACTGCATCCATTGTTGGGCTCACCACTACAAGAAAGACATTGAGGCCATGGAGTGTGTTCAGAGAAGGACAGAGAAGCTGTGAGGGGTCTGGGGCACAGATGTTATAGGTAGTGGCTGAGGGAGCTGGAATTGTTCAGTCTGGAAAAGAGAAAGTTCATGGGAGACCTCACTGCTCTCTACAGCTACCTGAAGGGAGGTTGTGGCAGGGGTTTGGGGGGAGGTTCAGCTTCTGCTCCTTCATAACTAGTGACAGGACTGGAGGGAATGGCCTCAAGTTGTGCCAGGGGGGTTCAGGTTGACGTTAGAAAAAATTTCATCTCCAAGAGTGGTCAGGCACTGGAATGGGCTGCCCGGGGAGGTGGTGGACTCACCGTCCCTGGAGGTGTTAAGAAACATTCAGATGTTCATGGGTTAGTGGGAAATACTGATGGTAGGTGGATACCCCGCACAGGCTGCCAGCCCTGCCTGCGCTCAGCAAGGGGCCCCGGTGCTGCAGGCAGCGCTGAGAGGGCTCTGCAAAGATCCTGCCATGCTATTATTACCTAGCATCTCGTTTCTTCCAGAGCTCTGGATAGCTGGACTCGGCATTCTGTTTTTAACAGAGGAAGAGAAATGAGAGCTCTGCCCGACCGGCGCGCTGCCTGCTGGCGTCAGCGCTGAAAAGGAGCACTTGCATTACATGCCGGCCGCGCTCCCTGCCAGGAGCTCTCGGCGCTGCATCTCAAAAGCAGCTCCATGAAGCCAAGCTGGAGGCCGTGTAATTTTCAGCAGTGGCCCAAACGCAGCGCCATCATTTCGGCAGCTCTGAGCGGCCTCGTGCCGCCGCACCCCGCGCTCCGCTCCCAGCCCCGCCGTTCCCGCAGGCGCAGCGCTCCTGGCAGGCGGCGCGCAGGCTGCGCCACGGCCGCGGGACTGCCGGCACGGCGTTATTTAATGGAGAAGCGCAGATTTCAATAAGACTCCATTAAATTCCGCCCCCGGTGAATTGGCGACGGGGAATCGTCACCCGCCGTGCCGCGAGCCCGGGCCGTGACGCAGACACGCCGCCCCGTTAATGACCGTGCCCGTAACGCTCCGTCCGCTCACGGACCATTTCCTGCCTCCCGCCGCCACGTGACGGGCTCGGCACGGGATCCGCCCGCCCCGGTCCGTGCCGAGCGCGAAGGAGAAGGGCCCGCTGCCGCCCAACGCCCGGGGCTCCGCCGGCCGAGGGCTCCCGCCCCTAACGGGTCCCGAGCACGGCCGGTCCCCGCAGCCACGGAGGGGGCACGCGGGGGTCCCGCAGTCCCGGCCGAGCTCCGCCGCACCCCCGAGCCCCGCGCCGCCTCGCCCCGCCCCACCCCCCGCGGCGCCGCCTCCCATTGGCCGACGGGCGGGGGCGGGCGGGCCGCTTTGTGACGTCACGCTCAGCTGTCGGAAGGTCCCGATTTGTGCGGGGCAGCGGCGGGCGCGGGGCAGAACGCGGAGCAGAACCGGGAACGCCCCGCCCGCGGCGCCCGCTCCCGCCGCCACCTCCGTGCCCGCCGCCGCCGCGCCGCCGCCGCCCTCTGACAGTGCCCGGTGCCGATACCGGCGGGGTGAGTGCGCCTTGCGGGGGACGGGGGCTCCGGGGTGGGCGGGTGTCCGGGAGCGGCGGTGCGGCGGGGTTCCGGGCCGGACTCCACGGGAGCCTTTGTCTGGCGGCGGCGGCGGCGGACGGGGCCGGGCCGGGGCAGCCGGGTCGGGGCCGCTCCCCCCCCCCGCGCTGTTGTTTGTTTCGGCACCGCCGGATTAAGCCCCGCGCCTGCGCCCCGCTCCCATTGGCCGCGCCGGGTTGGAAGGCTGCGGTGACGTCGCCTCATTTCCATATGACATTGGGACGTCACGAGGCCGCCTCCTTCCAACCCCCCCCGCGATGTCCTCCCGTGACCCCGCACGGCCCCAGCCTGACGGCGGCACCTCCCGGCGGGGTCACCGCGCCGCGCCTGGGGCCTCGGCGGGCGGGGGCGGTTCGGTTGGAGATGGCGGCTGTCCGGGGGATGGGGGTCGCGGCGGTCTGTCGTCCGGCAGCCCCGCGGCGGTGCGGCGCTCGCGTTCCCGCGGCCTCACGAGTCGCGGCGCGTGTCCCGTGCCCGCGGGGCTCCCGGCCGTGCGCCGCCGCCGTCACCGCCGCTCCGCGCGGCCCCCGGGCGCCCTCGTGCTGCGGGACGGGGCCTCGGCTGCGGGTCCGCCGCGGGAACGGGCGTCGGTCGGGTGGGACGCGGGGCTCCAACAGCAGCTGTTTGTTTGTTTTTTTCCCGAAGAATAAATTTTATTATCTTTAATTCTCCAAAATAACGCTGGGGATCTTACCGCACCTCGCTGTCGCCGTATCTGCTGCTCGTGTGGTTGGGTGCAACGGGAAGAACGCGGGTAGCGTTTCCCTCAAGGATGAGCCCGTGTCGCCTCGCGGGCAGGGCTGGGAGCGCCCGGCTGTGGGCCTGGCCCGGCGTGGTGGGGCGGGAGGCGGCTGCGGGGCGGAGGGGGGGACGGGAGCGGGGCCGCCCCGTGTCGCGGTGCCGGGGTCAGGGCTTTGGTATGCCGAGTCTGCGGAAAGCAGCCCTGCGGGCGCTTGTCTAATTTAGGCGAAGTGCGCTGAAAATAGCGCTTCCCACGTGTGCCGAAGGCGCGCACCTGATTTGTGCCGCTGTGCCGGTATGGACGCGGCAGCACCCGGCGCTGCTGTCCTCAAAGGGCGAAGCTGCCGTGGGTCCCCGCGCAGCCCTGGCGCTCTCTGCCCTATTGAGTGTGAGATGAACCCACAGCTGGGGCTGCTCCTTGTGGGCTGGGGGACGTCCCAGCCGCGGTCAGGACCTGGGAGAACCCAGCGGGTGCATCACCCTTGTTTGCCTTTTCCGTGATGTATTTTTTATTCTTAGGATTTAACGCTTCAGGAAAGGGGGCTGCCTGGCTGGTTTGGTGATGGGTGCACGGATGGGTGCTGCTGGAAATGCTGTGGCCATGCTGTGGTTGTGGCCGTGATCCTGGGGCAGAGCACTGTCATGGCCATGTGTGTGACCAGGGAAGCTCCTCTGCTGTGACTCTGTGCTGCAGAGGGAACCCTTCCAGGATGATGGACGGAGGGATCCCAGCTGCTGTCAGTGTGGGGGTTTTGCTTATCTCCATGTCCAGTCCTGGTGGCATTTTCATGTCCTTTTGTCTCCGGATCAAATGCATTTTCTCTGTGCAGTTAATACTCTGCACTTTGTGTCTGCCATCTGTCTGCGGCTCTCGGAGGGCTTTGCAGCCATTAATGAAATCAGAGTGCTGGTCCCACACTGAGCTGTGGGGAGCTCTTCCCTAGCAGAAAACTGGAGCAGTAGTGTTTGGCTGGAGGAGGGCACTGCCCAGGGCTGGGGTGACACAGCCCTCGCCCTGCCTGGACTATGGGACATGGCGTGCTCACTGCCTGCAGTGGTCCTGCTGTGCAGCCCTGGCTCTGCCCCTGTTCCCTTGGCTCGGGTGCACTGGGCACACATGGCAGTGAGTCTGTGCTGGAAGTGCCCACCCAGTGGATGCAGTTGGGGTGTGGATGGGTGTGAGGTGGCTGTCTCCATTTGTGTGGCTGTGTGTGTTCCCTGTGCTGCTGGGTTTGGAGACCCGGCCGGTACAGGCTTGGGGCATCGTTATAAAGTAGCAGTGGTGGCACCTGTGACAGGGTCACCTTGCAGAGCCAGAGGGTGGCAATGAAATGCATGCAGCTGCTTGAGAAGAGAAGAGCATCTCTGCAAATAACCCGCTGAGAATCTAGCAGTAACAGCTTTCAGAATTAAACCAGCCCAAAACAGGCTTCAGCACTAGCGAGGCTTTTGGAGGCGAGAGTGCTCCCCAGGCTCTTGGAGCCCATCCCCAGTGAGTGCACATTTCTAACAGAAGTCACATGCAGTGTGTCCTTTGCTGCAGCAGGGGCTGGGACTGCCTTCCTGCTGTCCCCACTGATGCCGCTACTCTGGCCTGAATGCCCCTGTTCCTTTTTGCAGGCCTTTGCACTGAAGCCAAGTGAAGAACCTCATAACTGCACTGCACGCCCTGTAACTAAGCAAAGACTTCAGCAAAGCACTCCTGCCCCAAGGAAGGACCTCTAGCACCACTGAGCTCCGTGCCCTCCCCATCTGCCTGTCCCCATACTGAGGCGGGTGCTCAGCAGCTGCTTTTTTCCTGTCCCACCTGACTGCTTCCCACCATGTTCCAGCGTCTCACCAGCCTCTTCTTCAGTGACAGCAGCACGCCAGAGGGCCTGGAGGAGCCTAAACCCTTTGTCTCCGAGGAGGAGGAGGAGGATGGATGGCTCATAATCGAGCTTGGAGGTGAGAAAAGCAAGGTTTTATGCAGCTACTGAAGGGGCTTGTCTCTCCAGTGCCAGACAAGTGCTGTCAGGTGATGGCATTGCTTGCCCGTAGGTGGGGACGCTGCCCTGGGGATCCCAAGCCCTCGGTGCCAGGATGGGACCCCTGCACAGTGCCAGGTCAGGAGGAGACCCAGGCTATAGGGTGGTCCCACCTGTTCACTGAGTGGGGGCAGAGCACTGTGGCCTTGACTAAGCTGAGGGCAGGCAGGAATGACAGCCACATCCCCTGCAGCCATCTTCAGCTCTGCAATGTGCTTGGGATCTTCTGAGGCCACCCGAGGAGTGGAAGATCTCTCTAAAAGCCTTTGTAAGGGTTTATCTGCCCAAAGCATGCCCAGCATCTTTGCCAGGGGCACTCAGGTGATGTCTGCTGCTGTGCCTGGAGAGTCCCTCCATGCTTTCTGCTCCGGGGCTGGCTGGGCCCCCCTGACAGCAGCCAGGTCAAATGCATTCCTTGTGCATGAGGGCTTCTCCAGCTCCATTAAGATCTTTGGGTTGCTATTGTAGGGTCGATGACTCAGCTGATTGCAATGATTATTTTGTGACCTTCTGCTTGCACAGGCACACACAAACAGCTGTCTGCACTGCAGGTCTTGGGCTGCTGCTCCTCAGTGCCCAGCAGCTGCCTTTGCAGCCTCTCATGAGCACAGAGCCCAGCCCAGGGCTGGAGCTTGTCCCCCTTGAGGTGGGCACTGTTCTGTGAGCAGATGCCCTTGCCTGTCTCATGTGCACCAAGGAGTGCTCAGTCTTTTGATGTGAGTTGTTCCTTAGAGGTCTCTCCCCTGCAGTGAGCTGCAGAGGGACTGGAGCACAGTCCTGCCTGGGGTGGGGGGCCGGGACACCCCAGTGCCAGTGGGAGCACTGCAGGGATCTGGACTGGGCAGGAGGGTGACATGGGCCACACAGAGGACTTCCTGTCCTCTGAAGTGCTCCTGGGGTCACAGTTGTGATGTGGGAGGGGATGCAAAGAGCTCCTTGCACACGAGTGTGCATCTGCTGTGCACTGGGGCCAGCAGGCCTCTGTGCTGCTGCTGGCAGTGGTCACAGTGTACTCAAAGTGTGCCGGGAGGAGCCACGACTTTTTCCCCGGCAGAGAAACACGGGGCTGTGCCCTGAAGCCCTGGGTGGGAGCCTGCAGCCTCAGTGGGGCTCCAGGGCTGGCTGTGGTATGAAGGGCTCCTGTTTTTCTGGGTGATTTTTGTGGGTTTTTTTTTTTTTTTTTTTTTTAACTGAAGCAGCCAGGCCCTTGGTGCAGAGCCAGTTTTCAGCAGGGAGCCGGCATGGACCTGGCACCCCACTGCTAATCCCCACCAGCACCACAGCTGCCTAAGCATTCCCCAGCCAGCAAGGGATCGATTTAGTTCAGCCCTATTTTGGAGCCCGGAGTTATGTGAAGCACTTCCAGACCAAAGCCTCTTGGCTTCAGCCCCGGCTCTGTGTTGTGGCAGACGAGCACCTTGCAGCCTGGCTCTCCCCCAGCAGCCTCCAGGTCTCTGACCCATGCAGTGCAAAATGCACCTGAGTGCGTGGCCCCGTGGGGCACATCTGCAGGACTCAGAGTTATGGCTCCCAGCTGCAAGTCTGTGGCAGTGTGGGCAGCCATTGTGACGTCCAGGGCCCTCTTTGAGATGGATGGGGACAACTTAGCACATGCGGCCCCGTGTCCTGGAAGCGTGCTTGGTCCTGTTGTGCAGCGCTCATTCCAGGCTCTGTATCTGCTGTTGGCAAGCAATTTGCAGCCTGGTTTAGCCACAGCTGTCTCCTGGCCTGAAGCAAGGTGCTCTCCTGTCTGCAGGGCTAATTGTGCCCGGCCCTATTCCCAGGTTGGAGGAGCTGAGGTGTGTTAGACGGCAAACACCTGCCCAGTGCTTCGTATTTTTTCCAGCCCGTTTAGGCAGCGCGGGCTCACGTTTGCCCCTGATTTCTCCTGCGCCTTCAGCCAGCAGCGGGGTCAGCGCTGTCCGTACAGACTGTGCTGAGCCCATCCCAAGCGAAGCGTGGTCCTGGTGGCTGCGAGGCAGTGCGCTCAGCTGGCCGGGAGGAGGCAGCCGGCAGGCTGAAGTCAAAGGCGTCGTGGAAACTTCTGGGGAAGCACTGATACTCCAAGGGAAAGGTTTTTGTTTTTTTTTTTTTCCAGGAAAAAGGTGTGCACTGTGTGTGTTTTGCTTCCACGTGTGCACAGTGTAGTTTGCTGCCATTCTTGAACGGCACAGTTCAGGAGATCTAGGAAAGCTTGCAGAAAAAAGAAAGGATTTTTTTTTTAATTTTATTTTTTTGGCCAAATTTCTTTCTCTGCTTCAAGAAAGAAAATAATTACTGCTGGGATGCCCAACTTTTGGTGGTGCCACCCACCAGAAACCATTGCAGGGTCAGGGTGCAGGGCACAGCCGCTGGGACCCGCTGCGCCCGTCTGCGGCGGCGATGCCGTGGGTGCCTCGCACACTAACGATGCCCCTTTCTCTCCCCCCTCTCCCCACTGTACATGGTGTGTGTGTGTCCCCGCTGCGCCCCGCATGGCTCTGCACCCCGCTTGCTCCCCAGGCGGTGCTGCCCACCCCGGTGCACAGCGGCGGGCAGGGGCTGGTGGCCACGGGTGCTCGGTGCGGCCCCGTCCGGCACCACCACCTGCCTCGCCGCCGGCCCCGGTCCCGGCTCACACCGGCAGCCCCACGCCCACCCTGCCCAGCCCCTGCTTGATGGACGAGAGTTGGTTTGTCACCCCTCCCCCCTGTTTTACTGCAGAGGAGCCCGGCCCCGACGGCGTGGGCAGCAGCCCCATGGAGGACCTGCTCATCGAGCACCCCAGCATGTCCGTCTACGTCACCAGCACCCTCGAGCTGGATGCAGAGGGACCTCAGGACGATGCTGCCGGGTGAGTGCGAGCTCTGGGACCGGGGCGGCCACACACAGCCTGCAGTGTTTTGCCTGTGCTGCCCACCATGGGGGGACCTGGGGTCAGTGCTTTGAAGAGGTAGATTTAAGTTGGCCTAGGGAAATATTTAATGCCACAGGTGATAAGGCACTGGAACAGGTTGATCAGGGAAGTTGTGGATGCCCCATTGTCATTAGAGGTGTTTAAGGTCAGCTTTGAGGAACCTGGTCTGTTAAAGATGCCTGTAGCAGGGTGTGATGATCTTTGAAGGTCACTTCCAACCCAAGCCATCTTGTGAGTTGGTGACATCAGTGTCCCTGCTGGACAGGTGCCTTGGCCATGCAAAGACAGCAGCCTCCAATGCCTGAAAGTATTTTGGCATGCACTGGGACCATGTTAAGATGACTGTAGGCATGGGACTGGCCACGTGAAACCGTTGCTATGTGCTTGCTGCTGGGAAGGCACTGGCCTTGTCCTCATCCTCTCCTGCATATTGCATGTCACCCCACTGCCAGGCTGGTGAGTCTGCCAGGCTGGGCTTATGCCTGGTGGCTTGTGTAAGTACAGCATGAGCAAAGAAGCCCCAGTAGGAGAGGGTGGCCCTGAGCACATCAAGTGTCCTTGAGCCCCCATTTTCCCCATACAGGGGAATGCTGCAGCCTCCTGCCTCCAGCTCTCCCTCCTGGCTCTGTTGGCTCGGGTCATGCTCCCACTGTGTGCGGCTTTGGAACGGGGTGCTCCCCCCTTCAACCATCACATGTGGCTGCAGACCTTTCTTTCTGACCCATATTCCAGTGTAATGGGGGACAGTTAAACAGAGATGCCATAATCTGCCACCTGCAAACAAAACCCAGCCCCCTGCCATCCCCTTTCCTGGGAGCTGGCAGTTTGCAGCCTATGATCTGCCCTTCCTGCACCTACAGCATCTGTGCAGTGTGGGGAGCTCTGTAATCTCCCCGTGGCTGTCCCTTGCAGTGCTCAGGAAAGCCCTGACAGTGCCCAGCTGGCCCAGCCCTGGTGCTGCTGTGCTGAGTTGCTGCTGCCCTTTCCCCCAGGACAGGGAAGCGTTCCCTGTGTCACAGCTTTACTATTTACATAGCCTTGCAAGGCAGAATTGGAGGTGAACCTGTTTGGCCGGGGGATGATGCCCCTCTTGGTCTCCTCCATTTGCAAAGCCCTTCTGAGGGCCACAGTGCCATCTCCAGAGAACATCAGTGCTGGTGGGTGAAGGAGGAGGGGAGGCCAAGGGGAGCCAGGAACAGGCAGGGGAGCGAATCTGCTTTGGGTGCAGGATGGGCACGACAGGGCGGTGGGCACAACAGGGCCATGGGCTGTGCTTGGCTCCTGCCCACCGGGTTTGAGCATGCTGGTGGCAGCATAGGCCAAGCAGGGTCCTGCCCAGACCATCCCACAGCCCTCGTGTGGCAACCTGTGGGGATGGGTCTGGATGGAGCAGGGGCGCAGGAGGGCGCGGGCTGCTTATGTGTGGGATGTGAGATGGGAACCCCAGGCACCACCGACCTCTGACGATCCTGCGTTCCCACAGGGAGGTGCCGGAGCCCCGGCTGGAGCGGCACGTGCCGCACCGCAGCGCATCCCTGTCAGTGAAGGCCGCCGTCCTGGAGAAGGTCAGCCAGGCACGGCGGGTGCAGCGGGCCAAGCAGCTGGCCGAGAAGCCGTGGCTCAGCCAGAAGGCGCTGCAGCGGCAGGATCGGGCCCACCAACGCCCGCCCCGCCGGGCCCGTCAGCGCACGGGGAGCTTCCTCCACCAGCCCTGCCAGCGCCACTGCAACTACTGACCTCACCCAGCACCCACCGGCAGGGCTCGGCCTCCCACCGCCGCCGGCCCCAGCGCTGCTGCCCCGTGCCCCCTCTGCTGCCCTCCCCCGTCCGGGCCGTCACGGCGTCGCTTGGCGCGGTGCGGGCGGTGGAGCGGCGCCGTGCTCTGCGCTGTGCCCTGCCGGCTGGTACCCCCCAAACAGCCCCTTTGTTACATCCGTGGAGAATCCCGTTGGTTGTGTCCTGAGGAGCTGTGACATCAGTGCCTTTCTTCACGACATCGTACTCCTCCAGTGAACAGACTGTGATGTCACGAGTGGATACCGAGCAGAAGTGGGAAAAGGAACAGAGATGAGATTTGGTATTTGAGGGAAAAAGATGACAACACTGTACCTGATGCTTCCTCCTCCCGTCCCCGCTGTCAGAGCAGAGCGCAGGCAGAGCTGCTGGCACTGCTGGGCCCGGCTGGGCCCTCGGCGGCTCCACATCGGCAAAACCAGCAACCCTTCTTCCTGCCTAAAATTCTTAATTGCGTTTTTACCAGAGTAATACAAAAACCCCACTGCCGTTTGCTTCAGAAAGCCAGGCGGGGCTCCGTGTTCTGTGCTTTTAAAGACAACTTTACCAGAAATCTCAGGAAACAAAGCACTGAGCCGGGAGCTGTTGGAGCACTGCTGGGAGGTGACGGCCAGGCGCTGGTGCAGCCCAGGCACATCGGCGGATCCCTGCTGCCTCCAGTGAGCGCCAGGCCGGTGCCACTGCACCGCGAGCAGCCACAGCTCCTGTGCTGTGTGAGCCAAGGAACATCAGCCGCCCCCAGCAGCAGAGCAGAGAAGGGACCCGCACAGATCCCCCCCAGGTGGCAGAAGCACGTTGAGCTGGCAGCAAGAGAACGTGAAGGGAGAGGGAAGGATGGAAGCCAGCGGTTGCAGCATGAGGCCAGGCAGCAGGAGGGCTGCAGGCTGGATCTGTGTGCAGAGGAAGCCCTGTCTGCCCCCGCCGATGTTGTGTCGCTGATGGCAGCCGCCTCCAGGCCTGGGCGATGCTTGTTGGTGCTGCTGCACTCAGGCTGCCCGGCACCCAGTGCTGGCCCCTGGAATGTGCTGCCCTTCACTGTTGGGAACTCCTGGAATGGCAACGTAGGACCTGCTTTTAGGCAACTGTTTTAGGCCCAACCTCAGGCTGCTAACTTTTTTTTTTTTTTTTTTTTAAATGAGAGGAAAACCCACCCTTCTCCAGTGAGCAGCCTCCCAGATCCCTGAGTGTGGACGTGGCTGGTGCTGCTTGCCTGCAGGACTTACCTTTAGCTCTGACTTCCCAAAAGCACAGGAAGAATGAAAATTTGTTTCAGATGCTTTTATTCTAAGCCACACATTGGAGCCTTCCAGATTCAATTCTTCCAGGCCTGTTTCTCGTTCCAGTCCTGCTGGGCACAGCGCTGGCTGCCGTGCTGCTGGGAGCCCAGTGCCGGGCAGTTCCATAACTAACAAGAACCCCCATTTCAAATTATCCTTTCTAATTTCAGTAGCAGGCAGGGTAAAAGTTCTGAGGCAGAAAACAGGCAGTTCTGTTGTGCTGCTTTTCCAGCCATTCTGGTAAGCATAGAGTTGCAGAGCTTGTTCCCAAAGCAGAGCAGGAGCGAGCTGGGGGTCGGTGCCTCATCCTGCCCACCCTGGCTATAGTCAAGATGCACAGTTTCATTTCTGTACTGGAGACTGATGGATGATTCCTTGACTTGAGAGAAAAGTTTACATCCTTTGGCTTCCTTGGCTTCACGTGAGATGCCTTTTTATTTCTGAAGTGATCCCTGGTACAAACTGGGAGCACTGCTCTTGTAGGAATGTGGCCACAGGCGCTGCTGAGGGTGACGGCCTTTCTTGGGCACTTTGGTGTGGTGAGGAGGGCTGGATTTGATACTGTGAGTCACATCCCACCTCCTGCTCTCTCCCAGGGCTCTGGATAATGTCCCCATTGGTCACCAGGCTGTTCCCTGCCCTGACAATGCCTTCAGAGGAAGATTTTTTTTCTCTAGCCCAAAAGCACATCAGGAAGTTAACAACGCCAGCAATTCCTGCCTCGCAGCCATCTTAGCCTGCTGCAAGTTCTGCACATTTGAACAGCCACCAGTCCCAATGGCCCCTGCAAGGAGCTCCCAGAGCCAAGGCTGGGGGTGCCACCTCCCCCCCTCTGCAGCTCAGAGGTGCAGATGGGCACTGTGCAGCCTCTGGGCTGAATGCTGTCGCATGTACACTGCGTGTCTTGTGTCCACTCAGCTGCTTGCAAGCATTGCCCTGTAAAAGACTCCTCACCATGTCAACACTGTCCTCTGCTTCCTGCTCCTCCTGGCACCAGGGCATCTGCAGCCTCTGCAGAGCCCTCACTGATTCCCATCATCTGTTTCAAACGGCAAATGCTGTTCCTCCGTCCTGTTTTGGGGAAGAGACTGCAGAATGTTCTGATTTCCTTTCATCTTTCTGTGCCAGTCTGAGACATCTGTCATGCTGCTCCCAACCACCACAGGAAAAAAAAGTGGATCTACTATCACACTTTTTATCAAGAATATCTTTATAAAAGGTTATTAAATTATTAACCGTGTTCTAATGAAGAGATTAATCCAGAGACATAGCATCCCATGGGCGAGTGGAGTGCTCTTACTATGGTGAATAGGCTCCTGTGGTTCCCCCCTCTGTCATTTGCACACTTGCTCATGTATTAATATCTATTAATCACTGATTAACCCCGTACACAGTGAGTGTGGATTCACTTCTCGCACTTTGTGACCGACACTTCTGTTGCTGTGGCAGAGACACATTTGAACTGCACTTTGCAGAAGACCTGTGCTGCTCCTGTCCTGTCCAGCGGTGATCACTACAGCCGGCCTGATACCAAATCTCCTGCCCCACTGTTGCAAGATCAAGGAAAATCCTTTACACTGAGGTGACGAGCCTCCTTGAATCTTAAAACAAATGAAAGGTGCTTAAAAACTGAGAACTTTTTGGTGTGCACAGGTGTGCACATGTAAATATTTTAAAACCCAGTGTGGATGTTCAGTAGGTTGTTTTGGGGTTTTGAGTTTTTAGTTTTTTGCATCCGGTCTTTTTGATTTGTGAGTAGCTGTGTGCTGTTCTTGGTGGGAGGGGAGCACAGAGCAGGGAGAGCTGTGGCCGCGTCCTGCTTGGGCAGTGGGGCGAGTTCTTGGCTTCATTTTCTTGTACAGGAGGAAGCTTCACCATGGGCTCAGGGACAAACGAGTTGGCTGGGGCCCATCGCAAGGTCTTCTTCTGGACACCTCCATTCAGACGTGGGTTCTGTCGCTGCCCATGAGGCCGTGGTTCCTCATCTGTGCAGAGCCCGTAGGGCTGTGTGCTCTGTGGCCCCTGGGCAGCACGGTGTGGGGATGCGGGCATGGGCATGAGCTGCATCCTTGTGCTGTGAGTGTTATCTCCAATTCCCTTGTATTTATCCCCAAATTCATGTCATACTGCTAGAATGGAGCCGGCCCGTTCTGCTGTAAATAACCCAGCACAGACTGACGCCTTGTGAAAGCCCCAAGATTTGGGCAGCCAGACGGCATTGTCTGCTTCTGTGGCAGCTGTGTGAGGCATTGCGGTCAGAGAGCAGTGCTGGGGCAGGCAGGAAAGGATCGTTTTTGCCACCCTGGCAGCTCAGCACAGCCACGTCCTGCTGTCCAGTTCTGGCTCTGGCCAGCACCGGGAGCAGCAAGGTGGGGCAGAGGGCTCTGAAGAACATAGCCACAAATGTGCTTTCCAAAACAAGTGCTGTGAAGGCTCGCTGTAGGGAGAAAATGGTTCTTTCCACAAGAGTCAGCTTTTCTATGATGGAAAAGGTTTCATGCATAGCTCATCCCAAAGATCATCTCCACAGGAGTATTCACTGTACCTCCAGGCACATGGCTAATGAATAGGTAATTCTATGTTTACATCTTCTCTATTCAGCCCCAGCAGGCAGAAAGACGCGCAGCCGTCCTGTTCTGCTCAGAGCAAGAAAATGAAGAAATGACACTGCATTGAGACTTGAGACACTAACGGCACAGCTTCGTGATTGCTCCCACAGAGGCTCAACATCAATTCCAGTGCCTGGCGGCACCCAGGCCTCCCCTGAATGCCCACGGTTAGAGCAGGCCTGCAGAGGTGTGCCTTGATTTCACTTTGATTCCAGCTGCCGGTGGTTCAAAGTCGTGAATATTCTCCCGGTGTAACGGAGGGCTCAGTCCTTGTTATGTTAATGTGACCACAGTGTCTTCCGTGGCCTCGTGCCACACATTGTCTGTGCACCAGGGGATGGCCTTTCTGCTTCTTAGAAGAGGTCTGTCTTCATTGAAAACTACAGCTCTTTCTTTATAGCATGAGGCAGAACAAACCGTGCAGCTCTGTGGAATAGCGAAGTTGTGCCGTGCTGTATTCCTTCCGTTCTTCCCCGCAGGCAGATGAGGTGTGGGGTGCCCACCCCCTCCATTGCACTGCACTGGGGGTGTTGCTTTTCCAGCTCAGAGTCACCAAAATGCTGTTGAGGGAGTTTGCCACACACCCTGTGCCTGTCAGCGTGTGAGCTCAGAGTGTACAAACCTGACACGGAGCTCCAGCTCCACTGCAGCTGACAGCACAGCTCCTGCCGCTGCATTCCATCGTCTGCGCGGTGGGGCTGGGGGCAAGAATATTTTATTCCCTTCAAATGGAGGGGGAAAGAAACCAGCACTGTAAATTCCAGCTTGTAGCTTAAAACCAGGCTGCGCAGCCATGGGGAGCCCCACGCTCCTCCACTCCTTCACCTTCCCCACTCACATTTATTGGAAGCTGGCCGCAGGCATGCCCAGGTCTTGCTAGATCTTTTCTTTAGCTCTGTTTCATCACAGTCACACTTTGGGAAATTGGGGGGTGGGGGAACAGTGCAAGGCGTAACAATAAAATAGCATAGTCTTTTTTTTTTCTTGTATCATAAATATATCTGTGTGGAGCAATGGAGCATTGCAATATTTTATTTATATGTATCAACCCTACAACTAGGTATTCTGCTTGTAAAACTCATCTACACTTATTGTACATCTCTGTGCTGTATGACTGTGTATGTGCCTTTCACCCTTTTTTCATGGTCTGTCATCATCTTTTTCTTAAACAACTGCAGAACTTGAATAAACTAGCAAACCGCAGTTAAAAGTCCTATGCAAGGGATGACTGGGAATTACATTTTCAATACTCCCGCGTTTCTGCGTTGCTTTAAAAGCAGGCGCTGGGACCCGCAGAGAAGCCTCACAGAAGGAATGCCCTCAAAGCCCCATTTCAGCTGCTGAATCTCCCGGGCAGCTTTGAGGCGCTCAGCCCCCAGCGCAGCTCCTCACCACTCCATGCGTGAGGCTGAGCAGCGGGCGCTGCCCCAGGACAGTGCTCCACGTCCAGCTCTGCCTTTCACGTGCTCTTCGAAGGAGAAAGCGCTGTCAGGGCTGAGCAGGATAGGATGCCTTACGCCTTCGCCCGGGTGCTGAGCGGGTTGGGGCGCGGCAGAGCCATGCTGTGCAGCAGTGCCCACGGCCGTGCGCTGCCGCAGGGTGAGCCGGTGCTGCCCAATGCCTTACAGCGGTGGGACGACACTGACACCGTGATTTGGGAGATGAGAAAAAAAAGCCCCACGTTTTCTACATCACCTATGCTGTAGGACCGAACGCTTGTTCAAAACGCTAATGGAAATCGTCCTCTGTGTGTGTTAACGTGTTAAATCGATGTAAGCAAGGGTTGTAGGGGAAGGGTGTCTACTTCTTGTAGGACTTTATTTAAGTGTTTGCCACGTGTCAACAGACTGAGGGACACGACTGCCTGGAATTCGTTTCGTAGTGTGCCTGTGTGCGTGTAACCTGGGTTCGGTTGTTAGATTGTAATGCCGTCTTTTGACTGAAAAAAAAATTAATATAAAGAAAAACCACAAGAAATAAAATATATATATTTAAAGTCTATTTTACGTGTATTCCTTTGAAACCTACGAGCACATCTGTTTGCAAACTGCAAAACGCAAAAGGTTTTGGCTTTTGAAACGGACTTTGAAAAATCAGTGCTGTAACTATCAGACACAAATCAATAAAAAACAGCCCCCTTTGAAGACAAGGATGAGAAGAGGGTGGCACAGGCTGTCACTGCAGAGTTTTTCCCCCATTTGCAAACCCTAAAACTTGCTTGAGGAGTGTGAGAACAGTTGAAATATGTTCGACTCACGTGGGAGATAAAGCATTTCTACGCTAAGGGCAGCTGCCCATGCAGCGCTCTGCGCAGAGCAGCTCCGTGCACACAGCTCCAGCTTCTGCTCCAGGACCCGAAGGGCTGAGCTCCAACCCATTCCTCTTCCACCCAGTGTTTCTTGTCCCTGGCCATCCTGATGACCCTCTATCAGTCTCCCATTGGGTTATCAACAATTTTCTTGCATATGGGTGTGGAAAGCAGGTGGCAATATTCCACACGTGGCCTAGCAAGTGCCAAGGAAAGGGGAATGCTCACGTCTTCCCTTACCCACCTCCATTATCAGCACCTGCTGACCCTACTTGTCCCCCAGCACTCAGCCCCAGGCTGTCCTTGCCCAGTGAGCACCAACACAAGGCCCTCCCACGCTTTCCCCAGTGCAGCCCTCCTTTCCCAGGGCTCCCACCACCCCGTCCTTTGGCCTGCCCACATCTCCCCAGATCGTGACCCTGCCATCAGCTTCCACTGTGGTGGTGCTTTCTGCAATCCTGAGCGCACCCCTTTGTTCCCCTCCTACATGGATGTGAAAGACCCCTGTGCTATTAAAAGGAACCCTTCTGCCTTGTGTGTGCAGTGCTGCAGTTGGTAGGGCCAGAGCTAAGCTCAAAAGCAGATCTCACTTTCTCACATGTGGCACCAATACCTTTGGGCTTTGCACACCCTCTTCTTACCCACAGAACAAGGACTTAGCCTGCAAACACGATCCTTCTGTTTTGCGAACTTTGTCCAGTTCCTCATCCCCCAAAACTTCCCCTGAGCTGGCAGGTGGTGGCAGCAGCCAGGCCAGGCCCAGAACATGGAGAATGCTGGAGTGGGCAGACAGGCAGGACACGAACAGCAGCACTGCAGCACAGCCCCCCCACCTGCACACGGCAGCGAGGCTTCTGACAGGCGTGGGGCAATTCTGCTTTGTCCTTCCATCATCCCACATAGGGAATGAAACCAATTTTGTGAACTGGACAATTGAAGTGAGGTTAAGAAATGGTGAAGGTTGGAAGTAGTAAAAATAGGTCACCTCAGAAACTCAGGTGGCTTCCAACTGACTGCATGCATGTGTGAAATACACACACATGCAAACAGAAGACAAAAATCTCACAGGAACTGATGCTTTCCCTGGCAGCCAACCTCAGAGCACGGCGGTGCAGGACAAGGCTGCGAGCAGCAGGGCACAGCCAGGCCTTCGGGAGGAGGCAGCAGTGCCACAACCACAACGGCTTCTCAAAGCAAGGAAGGCGAGCAGCCAAGCTCTGACAGTGAAGGAGGAAAGGGAGAAGTTAGCCTTGCTTGGTTACCTGTGCACAAATAGGTTATTTCTGCCATTACAAGAGAAAGCAGCTGGCAATTCATATATTTTAAATGGGTTCCTAAATATAAATGTAAAAAATCCACTGGGAAAATAAAAAGGTATAAATACCCACTCGAGCACAGAGCGAGCCGCCATCTAAGACGACTCACTTCTCCATTGCTGCCCATGAGAGCTCCCTGGAACAAAGAGGCTGACCTACTTTCCCTGGCAGGGCACACAACCCAGCCGCTGCCACGGCCGTGCAGCCCCACGCAGACACGCTTCAGGCCAACGCATTCCAGGATCTCTTCAAAGCGTTCAGCACTGCACGTTTTTCGGCTCCGTTTTCCTGCTGAGCGCCTGTCTGTGGGGAGAGCTGTCTGCTGGGTGCCCTCGCCGTGCAGTCACTGCACGCAGCCCGGGCCTGGAGGGCGGTCCTGGAGTCTTTTTCTTGCTTCACCACAACAGCTGCACTGGTTAATTCATTCGCAGCTCAACAAATTCCTTTCTGAAGCTCCATATAAGGAGCTCGTAGGCCCAGAGCTCTAAATAATCCATTCGATCTTCTTGTTTGGAACGATGCTGCCGTTGCTGCTAATAATAATAGAACCCAAATTATAGGACAATAACATTTATTTAGAGCATGAGGGATTCCACATTATACAAACCCATAAAGTCATTTTTGTTTCACTGGTCCATTTCTACAACAAATACATCAGATCTACTATATAATAAAACTATTTACATTTCCAAACAAAATTGGGTCTGTTTATAACCCTCTTACTGCTATTCACATACAGTACTTAAACAACAGCACAATACGTTATTTTAATACCTAAAAATGACAACCCTGTATTCTAATTTGTTTATGAAAAGTGGAAACAAATACATTTACAATCATCTCCCCTCCCCTTCCATTTCTTACAAACACATTAACCTAATGTGCTAACCCTGGACTTCACTCTCTAAATCCAGGGGGTTTTAAAAAGAATTCAGTTTTTATATCTATTTGTTTTTTAGGAAAAAAAAAAATCATTGGGAACAGTATAATATTAAAATGACTTACTGTACAGAATTTTATTTAAAAAAGAAAAATCACAGCTCAAAATTGCTATTGGTAAATTCACACTCATTTACAAGTTTCATGTTTCCATGCAGTTATTTACTTGGATTTTCTTCTTTTTGACTGCATTGCACTGGCACTCGTTTCTGAAATCAAGAGAAGAAAAGAAGCATGGATACTCGGTCGGTAACCGTTCATGTGAGGCGCACAGATTGCCCTCTTACCATCCTAAAGTCACAGCAGGGAGGGATCGGGATGATCCCTCACACCTGACAACGCAGGCTGCGCCCCGAGCACCGCCAGCCCTGCGGCAGCACAGAGCGCCCAGCGGCTTCTGCGGCACACCGGGGCGCAGCGGCACGGCCTACAAACAGCAGTCGTGTACCTTAAGCTGCTCTTTAACTTTAGTCCCACACACCTCACGTCTTGCTCAGCCACAGCACCAGCAGGGCTCTGCAAACAGCCACTGCTCTGCGCACGGGCTGCAGGGATTAGACCCAAGCACAGGACTTGGAGACGGCACTGCTGGGAAAGCCAAGCCACGTTCTGGGCCTGCCACACGCCTTGGGAATCTCTTTGTCCCAGCCCTCGGGGAACCAGGGCATTAGAAAACAAGTCTCTTCAGTGCACGCTACAATTCACAAAAAAACAGCTTATGCAGAAGGATACAACACACGGTCCTTCGGCTGAACAACAGAAGCGCTCGCAGAGGCTCCAGCACAACTGGGTGGTGTTTTCAGTGCACTTACCAAGGCACTATGCTTCCGTCGCAGAACACAAAGAAAAGAGCACTGAGCAAGGACTAAGGGCACCTGCATCCTTAGATGTTTTAAGAATGCAATTGGAAACATTGGCGATGTGTCTTTGGCTCTTTACAGTATTTTCCAGTAGCTGCTATGGCTGTGTGCATCTGAGAGTCAAAGGGAAAACATACCCCACGACCTCTCAAACTAGAAAAGCAACGACACGGCTCCATGGCTATTAAACGCTATATTACAAAAATATCCACTTTCCAAGTTTCACAAACCCAAAGCTACAGTAAACGCTGAGGCAGCCATTCCTGGTAAGGTCTTCTGACAGCTGCAAACCCCAGTTTCCAGAAGCGGGACCATACCTTGTGGACAGAGCAGTGGCCTCCAGCAGCTGCTTCCTGCTGCCTTCTGCTGCTCCTCCAGCAGAGCCCATCCTGGCCTACCCTTCCCATATACCTTGCTCATTCAGAGCACCTGGTCCCAAACCCCTTTCCTCTCCTTGTTGTGCCGATGTTTTTTTCCTAAATGCTATATTTTTTATAATGGCCTTAATCAGTCTCTACTTCAAAAGTCATTTTTTCCCAACCCTGCACTCTCCTAAGGTGGATTAACAAGTTTCTTGGGACACAGACCACACACATCCAGGTGGAGGCCATGTATAAAACATACAGGCTTCCTTAAGTGATGTTTCACTAATAAGTGCACAGAACAGAATAGGCAGACGTGGCACACCTCTTCTCGCCTCCCATGCTCCATCTCACTTATCCTTCATACTGTGCCCTTGCTCAGAAGGGCCTTGTTTTCTCCAAAGCTCTGCAGTAGGCAGTGGCTTGCATGGAGATAAGGCAATGGCAGGGGGCAGCACGCAGCAAGCCAGGCTGCTGGAGAGCCCTCAGAACTGTAGTACTTCCACATACAGGTTTCAAAAACAACAATTTTCCTTAAAGAGGTAAACAAATGACACATTGGTACAAAGCCCCTACGCAAGTGCTGCTATTCTTTAAATTTAATGTTCTTTTGTGTTCCCGTATTTTCAGAATTTGAAGTGCCACTGGTTGTCATCTTTAGGTTCACTCATTACAGCACACTTCAGACAGCCTCGAGCTCCCCAAGGTATCACCCAATCATTTTACATTTACTTCACATTTTTCAACCTTTTCTTCACATCGTGAAAGATAACTTAGTGTTACAATACAGACTTCGGCACAACCCCGCTATGAGAGGGAACTCCAATTAAATTCAGCAGAACACAGAGGGCCCTCCAGGTGACACTGCACGGTTACATACAGCCGGAAGGCTCTCAAACTCTAATAAATGCAAATACTCTTACCAGCAAACTTTGGTATCTGTATGGAAAATAGTTACTGAATTCAACTTGACTTCTTTTTGAAACGATGATGTATTAATACCTCTGTGCTTAAAATACTGGATGAACGTTTCGTCGCGTTGGTCTCTCTACCCTCTCACACAGCTTGTGTCCATCAGATCTGCTCTGACCCTTACACAAAAGGAGCTGGCACTGTTACCTGCAGAACTGCAGAGCAGCACCATGGACTGTGCATTCTGGTAACAAATGTGCACACCTCACGACTGCTGTGTACTTTGTGCAAGACTGCAG